TCACTATACCCAATCTTTGCGACGACTGGATCGATTCACGAGGAGCACAAAGTCTTGTTAATGCTCTCAAAAGCAACAAAGTAACACTCTTCTCACATATTTTTTTACCCTATCATTTACTGATTATTTTACCTAGACACTCACCACACTAAACCTCGAAACCAATGCTATTCATGGAGAAGGAATAGAATATCTTGCCAATGCCTTCATAGAAAACAAAGTAACATTTTTCTTTCATTGTCTCAGTAAATCACTGACTCATTATTTCATGTAGACACTCACCACACTGAATCTCAAGTCAAATCCACTTGAAGATCATGGAGCACTATATGTTGCTAGTATTATAGAAAAAAACAAAGTAACGTTCATCCTTCATTTTCTTGCTCTACTAGTTACTCATTATTTTATATAGACACTCACCACATTGATTCTCTTTTTCAATGATATTGGTAATCAAGGAGCAGACTATTTACTCAACGCCTTACAAAAAAACAAAGTAGAACTTTTTCTTCATCTTTATCTCCTTCTAACACTCATTAATTATGTTACGTAGACACTCACAACATTGAGTCTCGGTACAGTTAATATCGGCGATGAAAGAGCAAAATGTCTTGCTAATATCTTACAAGAAAATAAAGTAGCCTTCTTCTTCTCCTCCTCTCGTTATTTTGAATTTTATCTCTCACTCATTATCTCACACAGACACTCATCACAATCGATCTCAGTTTAACTGATATTGGCCCAGAAGGTATATCATATCTTTCTAATGCTCTAAAAAAAAACAAGGTAATATTATTTCTTCAATTTTATCCTACTAATGGCTGATTATTTCATGTAGACACTTACCATGCTGAGTCTTAATCGGAATCGAATAAGTGAGCAAGGAGCACAACATATTGCTAGTTTACTACAAGAGAACGAAGTAACATTCTTCTTTTTTCTTATAGTATTATTTACTTATCATTATACATAGACACTCACTACATTGGATCTTACTAACACTGGCATCGGTTCACAAGGAGTATTCTTTCTTGCCGATGCTCTCAAAGAAAACAAAGTAACAATTTTTCCACATTTTGTTATCCTATCATCGATAAACTATTTCACATAGACACTGACCACACTGATCCTTGCACAGAATCGGATCAATAACCAAGGAACACAATATATTGCTAGTTTTTTACAAGAGAACAAAGTAACATTATTTCTTTATTTTCTTAGTCTGTTATTTACTCATTTTTTTACATAGACACTTATTGCATTGGATCTCCTAATGAATGGGATTTGTCCAGAAGGAGCATACTATCTTGCTAATGCTCTGAAGAAAAACAAAGTCGTATTTTCTTCTAATCTTTTTATTATATCATGCACGAATTATTTCATATAGACACTCACCAATTTGAACCTTTGGGGCAATTCTATAGGTAATGAAGGAGGAGAATATTTCATCGATCTCTTACAAGAAAACAAAGTAACATTTTTTTTCTCATTTTTCTTATGCTAACATTTATTGATTGTTTCACACAGACACTCCTCATACTGAACCTGGGCGATAATAGAATCCATGATGATACTCAGCAACGTCTCCGAGATATACAGAAAAATCATCTGGAACTAAAGTTGGACTTATAGATGTTACAAAATCGAACTACCGTTCATTCATATCAGTATAAGAAACATATCTCAAAATCTTTTTTTATTTTGTTACTTATGAATTTTGCTTTTTTGCTTGTTTTGCATAATTTTAACATTATTTTATTTAAAAAACTTCTTCTTTTTTACTCATGATCTTCTAATCTTATGAAAAATGTTGATACGAATCAATTCTTTGTATTGAATTCTCATTATATGCTAATATTCAGCAAATTCATTTATTTTTATTTATGGTAAAAGTTCATAGTGTTCATATCATTTACATAAGATTTATTGTTGGTGTATGTATTGATGATAAAATGATAGTCATTAGAATGTCATCGAATTAAACTGTTCAGAAGAAAAAAAAGTGTCTGATTCATTTTTCAAATAATAGTTTGATTTCAAATATTAAACAGTAGCAATATGGTGTGTACCTATAAAAAACTAACATTTGAACGGTCTTGTACTATTCCAACTCACACTCACACCTACCCTTGACGATAATCTTTAATATTCGATTAAATCTAATAATTATTCTTTCTGATTTTAAAAAAGAATTTAATAATTTTAATTGATCTGAACAGTTCAAATAGAGCAATGAAAAACTCTATCGATTGATTTTTTTCACAAATAAGAAAATATTTTATTTGACAATAGATGAATTCTAAATTCTATTTAATAGTTTATTAGACACAAAAATCATGATTGAAGAACAATTCGATTATACATCTGGGCAAGTCGATTTTGTCTGATCCAATAATTCATTCTCGTAAATAAGATGACCATCAAATTTATACGGTAACGAATAAACACACATACGAATATTTCCCATCCATAATCCCCAATGACATCGTATAAACCATTGATGATGTTCGATCCAAAATGGTGTACGATACGTTGCAAGATATTGATCGATTTTTTCTTCATTTCTCTGATTACCAGTTGAAAGGCAAAGATAGGTATACATCTTCATTTGAAAAACTTTCAATTGCGGTAAATAATTAACGATGATTTCTTCCCATTGATTTCCATCTAACTCTATGAAGAATATTTCAACTTTCAGGTGACTAATATTGGGTAATAATTGAAATAAATTAATCATTAGACGTTGTGTATGTACTTTATATAGAATGAGTCTTTTAACAGATACATTCTTAGGCGACGGAAGATATTCATGAGGAGAAGATATTTCATCTATCTGAAAGGTTTTCAATGATACGGCAAATGTTCGTAAATGTGGTGTCTTCTTTAATAAATCGACAAATTTATTTGAATACCACTAATTCCCAAGAATTGTTAAGTATTGCAACGATGTTGATACAGAAGTAGGAATACAAAAATGACTTCTACCACGAAAGCAGAAATCAAAATAGCAATGTGTCAATTTCGGTAAATTCCAAATTTGATCAATTACACCTTGAAAATCGCCGAGAGAAATGCCAAGCAGACGACAACCAATAAATTTCAGATGTGTCAAATTATGAAGATAATATAAATCGGAAAAGAAAAATTGGTTAATCTTTGGATCCGAACTAACATTTTCCAATGTTAAATAACGAAGATTATCGAATTGACCAAATGTGAAACCTGCGGATTGAAAATGAGCACATTGATATGGCGCTTCTTCATTATCGGAGAGTCGAAGATAAATTGTTCGATTTATTATAAATGGGAGATATATTCGACAGAAACGATTGAAATCTTCTTTGAATATTGAACGACAATCGACTCGACAATCTCGAACTTGAATTAATAATAAAGAATTAAAACGAGTATTCAGACCATAAAAAGAACGAAAGAGGTCAACTACATCAAATAATTCGAATAATTCAATAAATAACTCATTGGATAATGATTCCAATATCATCTTATTCGTTGTCATTGCTGAGTGAAAATCTAAAAAAACGAGTATATGATTCACACCACTATGAAGAAAAATCCTAGGATGGATGGGTGTGGGTGTAGATGTGAAACTATAATAAACTACTCAAACCCATCCACCCACGCCCACACCCACCCATTTACCCTCATACTCACCGCTAATACTATGAAAATTTCCGAAAGAAAATACAATAGATGCCGAAGAATAATTATTTTCATTTAATTATTGAAATGTTTTCCATATATGAAAAAGATTTAAATAAGATCGGAAATCTTTCAACAATAATCATCAACATAAAATTTGAAATAAATACTAAAAAAACAAATGTCGTTGATTGTCAGCTATTTGATGAAACGTTCGAGTGAATAGGTGCTATTATGAATACAGTAAAAAAGTACGGAGAAGTACGAACGGGTATGAAGAAGCGACAAAAAGTATGGTCGAGTACAGAGACGTATGAAGAAAAATAAAAAGCGCAAAAAGTCGCTTATTATTCCGTGGCAAATAGTTCTCGCGTTGTGATGGTTTTTTTCTATTCTGTCTTACGGTGTAAAAACAAGACATTTATTCCTCTTTACACTTACAATCGACACGTTTTTTTCTGCAATTATTTAAGAAAAAATGATTTATTTAAACATAGTTTTAGATATTCAATCATTAATTTCGATTAATAAAACTAGACACTATTTTTCATAACATAGCTGCTGTAAATGATGTTGCTGCCTCGAACGCACAAATTTTATCTTCTTTACAATCACCACTACATGTCGTTATAGTTGGTGGTACGTCAGGTATTGGTCGTGGATTTGCTCATACCATCAATCGACTTTGTCCAGCCGCTCATGTGACAATTATTGGACGTAATGAGTCTGCTGCTAATGAAATATTATCTCAATTAGGTTCCAATGGAAGTTTTATACGTGCCGATGTTTCATTGATGTCTGAAATTCGAACAATTACAAAGAAAATCAAAGCAGTTGACATCCTTGTTCTGTCTCAAGGCGTGATATCAATGGATGCTTTTGCACGAACCAAAGAAAATATCAATTATGCATTAGCTTTAAATTACTATGGTCGAGTTTTATTCATCGAAGAACTTCTTCCATTACTTCGAACATCTCCACTTGGTGGTAAAGTTGTATCTGTCTTGAATAGTAAAAAAGGTGATCCATCAAAAATCAACTGGAATAATATGGGACTCGAGACTAAATGTTCTTTTTTGGTAGCGATTAATCATGCCTTCGCATTCAATGATCTTATCATTCAATATCTTGCTTCACAACCAGAAAATAGCAATGTCACTTTTATACATTCATTTCCAGGTCACGTTAAAACTCCGATTATTGATAACTTACCTTTTTATATTCGACTACCTATAAAAGCGGTGGGAGCAATCAGACGTCTGGCTGTTAGTCCGGACGAGTGTGCCGAATTTATGATACATGGTATATTAAAGGCAGAGAAAGGCTATATATACATGGATGAAAAAGGAGAAACTATCACAAATAAAACAGTAGCAAATGAAGAAATGCTACAAAAACTTTGGGAACACACTCGTGAATCTATTTCCTGTACTGCTTCGTAATAAATAAACTATATATTTACTGTATTTTCAAATTTGTTTTTGAATATATTTAGAAAATAAATCATAGGTTCTTATATAACTTGCTGATCATTATCGAGTATAGAAAATGTGAATTTAAATTAATAAAGACTTTTGCATCTATTTCTTAGCTTTTCGACAAACTCTTTGTTATGTTTTAAGGTTGGTTTCGGAATAGTGAAGAGTTGTGCATTCATACTCGAGATTGATTTCACTTAGGCAATGGCAATAGTTCTGAACACGACGTTAAAAATTTTATAAAATTCTAAATGTTGAATGTTTTTTATGATATTATATATTCTAACCATCTTGAGGATGTGAGTGTGAATAAGGATGGGTACGTGAGGTGACGGTGTATGGGTGTAATCAAGAAATCATCACAAACCCCTACAACTATTGAAAGCTTTATTTAAGAGTAATCGAACAGAAATTATTATATTAATCAAATTAAATGAATAAAAGTATTTTCTGATTAATTCTTTGGATATTCTAAAAACAATAAGCGATGAAATGTTATTTTAAATAAGAAAGGCATCATACAAAAATCGAGTTTATATAAGAACTTTATTACACGCAAAATGAACATTATGGAGGTTGTATGTGTGAATATTCTATCTCAACCACACCTACATCTATCATTGTAAATTGTTTTGATGTAGCTGCTGTTCAAATTTTGATAGAAAATGATTGTTTTTTGTTAGTTTTTATTTATTTGAATATTTAAAAATATTTACAAGAATATTAATTTAAATTGTTTTTTGTTTAGCCAACGCTGCTCGACGATTGAATACCACAGTATTTTGTTATGCTTGCCTTAAACGTTTCATGGGTAAGATTTCCGGAACAATGATTTGTGTCCTTCCACGCCAACAAGAAATCAATCTTCTCAATCCGAATTTTCTCTTCGGTAATGACATGGCACTTATAAAAGGAAACAAACATATGACATAATATGAAAAAAATTGTGCATGCAATTGAAAATCGGCACCAAAATCTTTTGATAGGCAACATTGTTGCATGAGCTCGACAAACATAAGTGGAATATAAAGAAAAAAATAAAGAATCGATATGGATAATAATTGAGTTGTCATTTTTCGATGTTTTTTCCATTGAAGTTTTTGTTGCATGCGATGTTTTTGCAATAGTACACGTATGAGAAGAGCAATGCTAAACAAAATAATAGCTAGAGTAGGTAATATATTATTAACTACAGTGTCCCATAAGGCAACTAATTTCATGTCATAATAGCAAAGAGGACGACCACATAAAGGTAAATTGTACTGGAATATATTTTCACATGGTGGGAATAGAATTGTGACTGCATGAAATATAAAACAATAAGCAAGTATTGCAGCTAAAGGAAGGTAGTGAATAAGAAGACGCTTCTTTTTTGTTGACATCCACTTATCATGAAAAATTAGAATGTACCGTTCGATCGAAGCCCACGCAACCAATAATAACGCAAATGTGAAGATCCCTCCATCAAGGAACATCCAGATCAAACATAAGTGCGATACAGCTGGTAAGGCTGTACCCAAATAATAATAGCTGAGATGTAATGGAATACTTGTGAGTGCATAGAGTAAGGTGTTGAATAATAGAACGATGATAACATGATTATTGAGAGTACGACGTAGAACACGATCGAAGAGTAGATGATAGAGAACAATTAGACAGCAAATGATTGATAGAAGAAATGAGAAGAAAAATAGCCAAAATCGAATGGAGAAAGAAATTGAGAGATCAACAAGTATATATGGATGATGATCTATCATTGCTGAAAAATTTCTTCTTCACTTGATATTCTCTAAAAATAAAGAATACACATAAATTAAAGTAACTCAACACAGAATTTCTTCCACTTCTTCTTCTCCTACGATAACACGCGAGTAGAAATTAGTGCATATAAATATTCATTTCATTGTATCTTCATCAGGTACTGTAAAGTTTTACCTTATGATAAAATCTTGAGAGTTAGAAATCTTTAAAAAAATATCAATTATCGATTAAATATACATAATCTCATTTGCTATGAGATAATAAAACATTTTATACTTAAGGAAACGCTTTTAGCATTCTAATCTGATGAACTTATCTTAATTGTCTTTTAAACAGCTTAGCTTAGGTTTTGAGCATAATTGAAATAGTCACCTGATGTAGTCTGAAAGAAAGTTACAGCTTTATCAAAATCAGAAGTGGATCGTGATAGGCAAGCTTTTAAGGACTGAACTAATATAAAATTCATTTCCGCCATACAAAGAAAATCGGGGCAACAAGCTATGAATTCTATCTGTAAATCTCCAACCTATCTAATGACAATTCAACTTTTTCATTATCGCGAAATGATTATCTACATAATAAATGGGTGCTGATTTTTCATATTAATAGGTTACTCTCATATTAGAAGAGATGAACAACATGACAAACCATGTTTATTTTTAGCAAAAAGAAATCCACGAAATTTTTAAATGTCCACTACCTTAAAATAGACTTTCAATACTGCTATTTTTTTTAATTTTCTGTTAAGAGTATTATGTAAGGCGATTAATATATTGACAAAAGTGTATCAAAATAATGATTTTGTCTTATTCATATCTTGCTGACGGATTAGTCTTTTCTTTCTGAAAAAAAAACACTGCTCAAAAACATCACAGATGTATGAGATTTTGACAGTAAAAGAAAAAGGTTTATACATTGAATGCGACAGAACAGGAACCATCTTTGGTATTAAAGGTAAAAGATAAATAGCAGCTGACAGTTTTTAATAGTCATATGTTAAACATTTACTTATGGCAATCTAAAATAGTATCGTCCAGGCCTTATCTCCTGTTTGTACGAAAAAAACATTTTTCTGGTTTCTATAAGAAAATAAGGTCTGGACGACACTATTTTGTGATTACTCTAAGTACTTATAAAAAAATTTAAGATTAACATCAGAGAATTATTCAGATGAAAACCCTATATTCTTTTAAATCTTCAAAAAAAAGTATAATTTTCCGGCTCATCAACATCGTTTCTTCAATGCTGATTAATGAATAATATAATGTTGAAATCAGAAAGTCTTTTATAAACGATTTTCTTCATAATTCTGATTTAGTAAAACTTTTTTTCCTCTGAAAACTTTAAATAACACTGTATCAATCTATCATTGGTATTTCTATCGAAAAAGTATTATAGAAGACATGTTTGAGTTAGTTGCTAGTGGATTCAGAACCAAAACACATCTATACAATACTCGCTCTCAAAGAACTGAAACAATTATGAAAAGTACTCAATTAAAAGTTGTTTTATCTTCACCGAAGGATATCATATTTTAGATGTTTTGATTCGTTGTTGGTCTCTGATTTACAACTAGACAAACGTCATTATCTGTTCTTAAGCCAGTAGTGTATCGAATAGTCATAACCTGATTCAATTTCATGGTTAATTTCGAATTCTAATAGATAAATTTTCGCTGCATTTGATTTAGTTTTCTTAACAACTTACCCGAACAAGTAAAATAATAAAAGTAATTATATTTTCTTTTCTTTTTTATTATTTTTCATTTTTCTTCAAAAACTCTTCAGACTATTCACACAAGTGTTCAAATAGGTTTTATATTTTTATTCATAAACAAACATATATTAATAGAAAATTATATAAGAAAAACATTTATTAACACATACAAATAACTTTTTATTTTACAGAATAGTATCAATCAAAATTGATGTACTATCTTCTCCGTTTATTAAAAAATACAAATGATGAGCTATCTGTATCATTTTAATATTGATTAATTTATTTTGTAATAATCAGACTTCAACTTCCATATATGCAGGTACTTTCTAAACTTTTTCTAGGGTCATAATAAGTCGACAAAATGTATTGTCATGTTTTGTTATTTATGATATCCTGCATGGACGAACAAGACTCTCCAAACATACTAAGAAAAAAGAAACAATAATGAGATTTTTTATATTAAATAGAAAAACAATTAAAGCATATCTGGGAACATTATCAAATGACAACTGTAATAAAAATCTTTCATTATAAGAATAAGTGATACTACTAACATGTGATTAGATATATGAATTGATCATGAATTCATTAATAGAAGTATATCAGATAAGTTGAATTTAAAACTTAATCAATATTTCTAGGAGGAATTCTTAAAAATCAAATAAATATAGTCATATTTCATTATGCTTGAGAGTAAGGATACATGAAGAATGAGACAACTTGACAAAAAATAACATACTTTCTATCTCCAGTTTTAGTCGTTCATCAATTACCACTTATCCTCAATTTTAAATTTCGATTATTTATAATTTTATGCAAGATATCGAGTTTTCTCATATGTGATAAAAAACAGATCTCGAAGGTGTGAATATCTCATCTGTCAAGGTACATCTATCTTTCTTTAATAATTAATATTTTAGAAGGACTTTTATCAAATAACTATGTCATTAATTTGTTTTATTATATTTGTTTCATATGATAATTTGATGATAAAATCAATTGTGGAATTTATTCGATGTGAATAATTTAAAAATTGAATTTATTTCAATTTACTTTGTCATTTATAATAATAAATTTATTCTTAAATCATTTTCGTTTATAGGACTTTTATTTGATCAGTTTATCAATTAGATGTATAATTTACAAAACAATATTGATCTTTTACATGTTTCTTTTTATCAAACTATTATGATATACAAGTATTCTTAAAAAGTTTATTGAATTCAAAGATTTTCTTGTTCATAGATATCACTGATTGACAGCAAATTTTCTAACTACTCTTATAGTTTTGTACAATAAGATAGAAAAATAAGATATTTTAGAAAATATATTTCCTTTTGTTTTGCATATTGATGGCCTTAAATACGTTCAAACTTCTAACTTGTAATGCATAAAAATGATCCTGGTTATATAATCGCAATGTCATGTCTGTTATCATTTTATGTTCTGCATTAGTTTTTGATTAAAGCTAAATGTGCAGTATAATCAAGTACAGAATTGATGATTTGATTGTTTTTTATATACGCTAATATACTAATGAATATAAAAATGAAAAACTTAGATAATCACTAGTTAGAGATCGTTATATTTAGATCTATTAGTCTTTCTATGACAAAAGAAAAAGAAAGTAGCACTCCTGGTGATAGTTTACATTTCTGTTGAATAATCCTAAATGTTGTTTTCCATAATTTGTAAGTGTAGTACCGAACAAGGAAATTAGTTTTGACAACTTGTTTTCTATTATATGCTATGTGACAAAATCATTCGAAAGAATTGTCGGAGGAAGACACATTTCTGTGTCAAAAAATTAATGAGTTTATAATTCTTTCGCCCATGTAATTGTGAAACCTAGAGAAAACACGATTGCCAAATAAAACTATGATTTCAGTAAATAATTATCGAAACTCAAGTGAATTTGGATTATTTTGATAATTAAGTATAATTTGTTAAAGATTTAGTTTGCAATACATTTACTTGTTCTAACAAGTTTTACTATAAGAGAAGTCGCATTTTAATGAATGATATTTTCCCACAAAATATAACAGTTTCTATTATATGTCGAATTCTTTTTTTCTAAAGAAATTCAGTAGAAAGTACTCGAAAATATAATATAATGGAAAAAAATAATGATTGTGGAAACAACAAATTAAATTTGAATAACACTTCAGAATAATTGTTAAATAAAACAACAAATCGTATAACACTAGGTATTTGTCAGACGAAACAGAATAAAAAAACACAATTATCAACAACTAGCGTTCATACTTTGATTTATTATCAATATATCGAACTTTATTCTTCTTTTTTTCATCATTTAGAGGTATTATTCGATAAGAATATGACATTATCAAATGCTACTATTGCTGAAATTAACGCTCTTAATTATGCCAATGAAATATTTTACTTATTTTGGGCTTTTGGATTAATTGGTCTTGGTACAATCGGCCATTCATTAAGCATTTATGTGTTTACACGTCCAATACTTCGTTCCAATCCATGTGCATGTTATTTTTTATCAGCAACGATAATGGGTTTATTTGTCGCCTATGTCAATACTCCACTACGTCTTCTTCAATATATCTACAATTATGATGTTTTTAAATACTCAACTGCATCATGTAAAATTCTTACATGGATTTTGCTTTGTGCCCGGTATTGTCTCTACTTTTAAACTGTCTATCAAATCATCATCTTCTTCTTTTGTATTTTTAGAGCTCTAGCATCATGGTTCATCGTTCTTGCTTCTATTGATCGGTAAGTAGAAATTAAAGCTTCGAATTCTTATGATACAGATAGCGTTGATGCGTTATAGATATAACTCGAATTAAAAGAAATGTTTTCAAATATATTGAAGATAGTATCGATGGATCTTCGGAATTCTCGTAACGATTTTCCCTCAACGCACTATTAATTGATACATACTCCATTCTTCCTATTGAAAAGAATTCTTGTTATAGTGGTTTATTCGCTTTCAACTCTGTAAAACCCACTCTAGTTAAGTATTTCCTCGAGTCCATGTAAAACAAAACAACAACTATCCGACAGTTTCAAGGAATACATGCCATTCGTCAAATTGTCCCTACGCGGAGTGAGTGTAATTACATGTAAATAACATTCATAACTTAAGTTTAAAGAAAAGTTTTTGAATGAGTTCCTCCATAAAGGTCTTTCTTTACGACAGATTTCTGTGCAGTTCAACTTCTGCTACATTACGAGCGTGGAGTACTCTTCGTGTTGTATGTCGAGCGATTCCACTCATGGTGATAGTTATTGGTGTTGTATATACCCATATACTAGTTCAATATGAAAACACATCAACAGTCGGGAAATGCTACGCAGGCCCAAGTGCAAACCCACTTTTTACTGGTATCTGGAATTTGATCATATTTAGCTTAGGTCCATCGGTTATTATGCTTATTTTTGGATCGCTCACCATTCGACATGTTCAGCATTCTGTAAGAAGAGTTAACGCATCACATATTACAACTAAATCTGAAAGTGCATCAGCAGCACCTATACAAGAAAAACTACAACGTCAAAAGACAGCTGATCGACAGTTAATTCGAATGATGATAGCTCAATGTGCCTACTTTGCAGTGCTGACAACTCCTATTTCAGGCTCCTATATCTATATTTCGCTAACGATAAACACAGTATTAGATGATCTCCAGTTTGCTAAAGTCAATTTATTCACAAACATCGCCGGCCTCTTATCTACTACGGGTGCTTGTACAAGTTTCTTTGTTTTTACATTGTCAAGTAAATTATTTCGACATGAACTCAAGCATCTCTTCACTTGGAGATGGCATTAGTATTCGATCACTGTTTCAACGTTAGGTGCAGCGAAAGCAATCAACTGATTAATCGATTCTATCTTTAAAACATATTGCTATCATCTCATGTCATCCCATACATGTATAGTAATAGTAAAAATATCTTTTAGCACTTTTATTTCTTTATTTACGTACGTTTGTGTATAAATTATGTCATATCCATTTACAAGAACCATAAAATATTAATTTTTTATTTTCGGTAATTTAAGTATGACGTGTATATATTTTCCTGTATTCAATGTCGTTTTTGTACGTATTTGCATAAATAAATGTATATTTATTTTGGTCATCGAGATGATCATTCAATACAATCTGAATTCTGAAATTTATCTCTTATACGCATCAAAGAAACTCACTAGGGTGAAGATAGATGTGGCTGGGACTTGGTATAATTTATTCTTTTCTCATCTACATCCACAAACACACCCTCAAAATGAAAGCAAACGCTTCCAGCCGAAAGTGCAAAAAAAATCAATCAAAGAAAAACTCTCGTTTATTTCAAAAGAAGATTAGTTTTTTATCAATATATTATTAATAATCTTGTTGAATCGATTCAACTGCAGTAGACAATTTATATATACTCAAAGTAGTTTCAATATGTTCGGAGTCTAAAAAATAAGTTGTTGCCATATAATCATAAGTTTTAGCAAGTAATGAATAACGAAGTGGTATCATTCGAAAATGAAATTCATGTTCAGAAAGATAATTCTGTAAAATTAGAATTGACGTATCTGTTATTGTATCATAGTTTCTTACAAGATTAGAAAGAGTTAATGGAAATAGATTTAAATAAATATCAACACCATTTTTAAATTGATTCAATGCTTCCTCGTACTTTTCCATTTTAAAATAAATTTCACCGATTTTATAATGTAACGTTGCAATATCATAATCAAATTGCTGTGTTTCTGAAGACTTATTGTTTAATAAATGTGTTAACACTTTTTGAAAACTCTCAAGTGCAGTGGTATAATCGATTGTCTTTTTAAACGACGGATCATCGGACAGCATCATAAACGACGAATCTTCATGTTTTATCAATGCTGTTCTACTTAAATAGTCAAGAGCTTTTTGTTTATCACCGATTTCAGAGTACGCCATACCAATAACGTGGGTGAAATCCGTCGTACTCATGTATGACAAATGTGTTTTCTGAATTCGAACCGCTTCTTCGTAATAGTCGATTGCTATTGCATACTGATGTCGAGCAGAATATGCGAGCCCAATATGTCTATATATATCAACAAACAGTTTATCATATGGTGAAATGGATCGAGACCGATAAAGCATCAATGTTTTGTAATAATTTTCGAGTGCTTCTGTATAGGATGCATTATTATAATAACTAAGCCCAAGATGCTTATAAGCCATTGGAATATATTCATCATCTTCAGATGTTTCATTTAAAAATATTCTATAAAATTCGATTGCTTTATTATATTCTTCTAGGTCATCCATCAGGTCTCCCATTGTCATAAAATCAAATGGATAACCAAATTTATCTCTTAACTGACCGATCAAATCTATAACTTGATTTTCTACTTCTTTATTTATGACCAATTTAACATTCCATATATGAGTATTTGTATCCAATGCAACTGAATGTATTTGAAATACTGTTCCAAAGGCAAATAATATTTCTGATCTATAACTATTAATTATAGTATAAGAATGAATCGTTTCCGTGCTTGTATCAATATCGATTTGGAATAAAACACATTCCATGTCTGCTGATTCTGATTGCTCTAGAATATGAGTTGGTTTTTCAATTGTTGTCAAATAAAATTCATTTATAGATAAAAATCGATTAACATTCACTTTTAGTTTAATTAATTTTTCTTTTGTCATACACTGTTTGCGATATGATGTTAAAATTTGATTATTATCATCTAATAATATATTAGAATGTTGATTAGATAATTTAATCATAAGATTAATAATAAAGGATCGAAGTTTATATAAAAGATTAATATTTTTTGTTCTTAATGCTTCATTTAATAATTGAGAAATAAATGTATCAGATTTATACCATAGTATTATATCTTCAAATATATGAGGATCTTCGAGATTGACTATGTATCTTTCCATATATTGCTTAAATATATTCATAAAATCATCTGTTGCTGTTGTGCTACGTTGATGTTCTAGAAAAGTAATAGTTAACTTTTGATACAGAAGAAATGTTTGACTTTCTTTATCTAAATATTTTAGTGAAACGTTTTTCATGTCTTGTATATAAATACTCATTGATATTTTTTCTTCAGTATCAAGATCTTTTGATAGACTCTGGATAAGGCGGATGTGACTAAGAAAGTATTGATAACGTTTATTTTCCGATCCTTCACGCATAGATGTAAGTGGTATATTTCGAGGAGAAAATATATAGATTGATGGTTTGATTTGTTGCTGCTGTTGAATAATAGGACAGATTTTGTCGCAAAATTTGTCAGATAAAATAAAATAAACAGACGATGGCTGAGATTGTCGAAGTATAGTTGAAATATAATCGATACATTCTTGTTCTTCATCATATGTTTTTAAAGTATCTGTTAGATGACGTAACTGATATTCCATTTTTATGTATGAATCTTCTACAGTTATATTTTTCTCCAGGCATACAATAATAAGAAAACCATTTAAAAATGATATATTCAAAATAAAATAAATAATCATACGAAAAAAACAGTAATTTGCCATGAATTTTTCGTATTTTGGTATTTACAATTATTTTTCAAATTTGATCTTATTCTAAAACTAAAATGTTGGCATAGAGTTAATACATTGGCATATAAACAAAAAATTCCGTTTATAGTACATTCAATCTAACGTCAGCAATAGAGAAAAAGAAATAAAAACTTCATAAAAACTCGATGGGTGTGAGTATGAATGTGGGTGAGGATGTAGATGAAAAAAGATTAATAACTACATTCACATCCATAGCCTCATTTTTTTCTTATCCATACTATTGCTACACAATACGTAAAATTGTATAAAATTGATGAAGTAAAATGTCAAAGCTTGTCTCTTTTTTTTTTCGACACTTATATAATAATCATAAACTATCAACCTTATCTTTAGCAACGCGATATTTATATTGCATGTGTCAAGTATAATATTTACTTATTTCTTAATCATTTTTTCTAGTTAAGGTAAAAGAGCAAATATTTACAGCTTAAAATGTAATACAATATTATAAAGCCACTTTTTCCAATCTGAGTCATAATGCAATATGTATATTTATTTCGAAATAACTAAACAAAATTTAAAAAATCGATTTATCAAATTTAATTTTAATTGTTTCTTGATCTGAGTAGAAACAATAGCGATCATTTCGCTCATTAACTCTCTATGAGTCTGTGTTTTCGTTCCGCTGCCATCGAGTTTAATTTTGAAGAAAGTGATACTTGTTTCTTATCGTTTCACGAAAATTTCCTCTTGCCTTCATCATTAGAGACCGTCAAGTGCAAGATTTTCGGACTCAAACCCGGATTTTAAATTGTACCCGTAATACTTTCAATGAGTTTTTTCATCTGAACATAATTGATGCTTTGAGAATACGATATATGTTTTCTTGCTTATTCATCTGGGTGACTAGCATACTCTTTACGTCTCTCAGATAATCGTGACAGTGATCTAGAAATAGTAGAATTATAATCAGTTTTTACTTGTAAATAAAACATGTTGAATTTTAAATCCTTGAATGTAAATCAGAACCCAAATCTGTTCAACAGAAAGTTTTGGACCTCTACACGGATCTAATCCGACTGGTTCTACTCGCTACTCGCTCCTTATCCTCACTCTCGCCTTCATCACTTATCAAGAAAGTGAGAAAAGTTACGTGAACGACAATAAATAAGTATCATTTAGTATTTTCTTACTTAAAAAAAAACAATCGATTGCAGTTTATTTTTCTATGCTAAGTTGAATGTTACTCATGAAACATATATCTCTTAAATGTTTATCTATATTTTAGTATCATATAAAAAATGGTAGTTTCGTTGGAATTTATGAAACACTTAAAAAAGTTGAATGTAAAATGACATATTATCGAGACTTATAGAAATTAAATACCTACAAAACTATTGAAATTATGTTAAAATGTGTCGAGCTGATGAATAGTAGTATATGTAAAAAGAAAATAAAAGGTATTATATATTGTTACAACATAAGTTAGTTTATCCTTTCCTTTTATTAAACGTGAAAAAGAAACGAAAGAGAAAAGTATTTTACATTAGATATTCTTTCGGAAGAACAAAATTTTATTGTTTTATTTCTTTTTCACTGATAAAAAAAGATTAGTCATGATTACTCATATGCTGAATTTTACCTTAAAGAAATAAAAAAGAATATGTTATTGCCTATATGAAATGAAATGATTACCTATAACTTGGAAAAAACCCACTTACACTTTTTATATATAGAATTGAATAAAACCGAAAAAAATATACTCTTATTATAATGATGAATAAATTAATTGAGACATACGCTATACATTATCAAATATATGACTAATAATATTTTATTGTATTTTCAAATAGAAATATCCAAAACTTTGCCATTTACATAAAAATCACTTTATTCATTGGCGAAATAGTATCTTTTCATGTGAATCAGATAAATTTCAACAATGGCAGATTTATAATAGATTATATTAAAATTGTTAATAAATCGTATAAAATAATTGTTATAACATCAGGAAAATATTCTCATTCCATATTTGATTCATTTTTAATATTTTGTAAAAACAAAAATCAATGTCCAAATTTAACAATAGAATATTCAAAGAATTTACACGAGTTAATCGATGTGACCTGTATTGAAGACTGTAATACGATCAAAAGAAAATCAAATTTAATAAATGACATTAGAGACTAAGGAAAATCGCACCTGCTATTTTTTAAATTAATTCTCAAATTGTTTATCTCTTTATTCTATAGTTAACTTTTTTTTTGACATTTTGAATGAAGAAGTCTATATTCAAAAAATTTATTTCCTAGTTAATGTATATTTCTGATGATATCTTCGATATTCAAAATGATTAGGTAGCCAGGATGAGGATGTGGCAGAGTTTTGTGTTCTATTTTTCTTTTGAAGAAGTTGACCTAAGTGTCATTGATTTGACTGAAAACACAAGGATTTCTATATTCGAATCGAATGAAAAAAACAGAAAAACAAAATTGAGAACAAAACTGTAAATTCATGCTTCGCTATACTGACGCGTGTTGTTACAAAGCGTGTAATTGTGCATGATATAAGTGAAACAAAAAAAAAAGAGAAAATGTTAATGGAAAATAAAACGTGGAAATTTTTATCAGTGTGTATCAAAATAAAAACAAACGCAGTGAAAATTGAAAGAAATTGTTTGAATTTATTAAAACTGCTATTAATTATAAATTATGGTTGACGTAACTACTATACAGTCTGGGACAGTTTTTGCGTGGTTCATGTTGATAATGGTGCTTCGACGCGTAGTAATGTTGGTTGTTGCTGGTGTCGCAGCACGTGGTAAACCTACACCACCTGGTCGAGTTCCTGAAGATTATAAAACGAAAAGAAAATCAGTAGGAACACCGATTCAAAACAGATTTACCAAGGATGTACGTGTCAATAAAACAATTACTAATGATTCAGAAAATGACACTTACTTCCTAATTTTACTCTTAGCAACAGCTGTTTTCTCTGATACCGGCAATGGAAATGTTATTCGTACAATAGTCTATGGTGCTATTTATTTATTTGCTCGGATATGTTATGCAATAGCATACATCATGGGTTGGCAGCCCTGGAGAAGCCTATTCTTTGCTCTTGGTCTTGCCTGCACATTAGCTTGTAGTTTAGATCTCGTTATCACTATGTCACGTCGATCCAATTGAACCTATCAATATTTCTATTTCATTAATAACTGAATTCAATGATAATCGAATATCAAGTCAAATATGACACATTTGTTTTTATATTCCGATGCTTTATTTGTCGATGTTTCTTATAAGTATTTAATTATTAATAAATCAAACGTAAAAATTTCTTCACCATTTTGTTAGTTCATTAAGAAATTATTTCCGTTCTATTCGAATTTTAATATTCAAATATCGTTGTTTTCTGTGAGAATAATTTCAGATGTGACAGCGAAAATTGAATTGTTGAAAAATGCATGAATTGCATATAATACTCATCTTGAGGATAAATGTACGATTTCTATGTCATCCACGCCCTCGGTGTTAATTTTTTCGTTTTCTTTTCTTGGAAAGCATATATTATTCATACAATGTTAATCGATTTTATTTTGAGAGTAACAAGTTATCTATGGACGAACAAATATGTTCATGAATAATGAAATTAACCATTTAGTGTCAGTTCACAGCTTGTATTATTCGCAGGAAGAGAAAGACACAAAAGCATATCAAATTGGGTTAGAAAGATGTGTGAATTATCAATTAAGAAATTTCTCATAATAAATCCATTGTTCAAAATTTTTCCTTCCTCCTATAAATAAATGTGATATCTAGACAAATGAATCAGTCGAAAAAATATTAAACAAAACATATCGAATCGTTACATTTATTCAAACAATGTGTTCGCAATGGTTGATTGTATTCATGTTATTTCCATTCTTACAAGTGGATCTTACTCCTGTTGTTGGTGAGTAGTACAAGACGTATATCTAGAAATTTTTTAGGTTTGATGTTAAGTGATACGCAAAACACCCGAGGTGTTTGAGTTTGTATATGAAATAGGGATATAGTTTAATGCAATTTTCTACTTCAGTGTAATTCAACTTCAACAGAAAAAATTTAAAAGTTTTTGTTTGTTTTAGGTCTTGATGGATATGTTAAAGGTGCTGAGCACCAAATAGATCGATTTGGAATTGACAAATCTTATGTTTATAGAGTGACGAGTAAATATGCAGGTATGAATCTTACATTAAGTATCACCTTCAATGAAGGGAACGAACCTGGCATCAAGTTGGATAGTATTGGTCGCTACTCCAATCTAGATATGCACTTAGTTCGTTTAAGTGACAACAAATACAGCATACAACATACTGATTTCGGTAAAACAACTGCACTTTATGTCATTAAGGATAAAATGAAGAATAAACTACGCTTCACTAAACCGGCTAACGTCTCAGAGCAATATTGGCATTTAACGCATTTATCTGATGGATCATTTAGAATAACAAACGATTTTTCAGGTCCTAACATGGCTTTAGACGTTCCAGCTAATGCGGCCTTGTTCAGCAAACCCATAATGTCAAAAATCGCTGCCAATCATCTTGGACAACACTGGATCTTAACGAAATATGAAAAGTACGACAGCAATGCTTGGTAGTTCGACTGAAATCTTCAGCTTCGATCTTGCTTATTAAAGTTTCTAAATATTATTTCATAATCAAGCGTTAATTGTTTTGTGTGTTACTTAAAAATAGCATATACTTAATATCTATGTTCTTCTTCAATCTGTTTGTTTGTCTATTACTCTTACAAATAAAAAATTAGATCTTAATTCAATAACAAGAATTTTTCCAACGTGTTTATACTTGTTTTATTCGATTCTTAGCGTTGGAATTGTTAACTGATATGATATGCAATAATATTCTTTCAATACTGTATGTCTCTTCATATTTTCTTATTCAAATGAATTTTTCAGTCGATTCAAATAGATAAAAACGTTTTCAGAGAATGCATCCTATTCCGCGATGTTGAACATTGGAGGAATCAGTTC